CAATCCGAGTCACGACACGGTTATGCCTTTCGGTCTCCAAGGGGGGGGGCGTGTTTTTTTCATCGAAGACAACAGCCAACGAGGCTGGAAACACTAATTGTCTCCAATTTCACTTGCTGCTGTACGTAGGAAACATGTCTACTTAACAAAGCCGCGTACTTTCAAATATACAAGAACACTCGGTTGACTCGGTAGTTGTATACTCTACTCGTGGTTCGTCCAGACTTCCTTCTACATCATTTTCAATCTTGATAAATATCATTCCTGGCCTTGCCTCGTAAATTGAATAGGAAGCCGGTCCGGTTGCGTACACGTACTGTTCATGAATTAATTCATATACGTGCTTGCTAACCAAGTTTGCCACGTCATTCATCTCTATATCATATCTATCGTGATGGACGAGATCAATCGTGGTTGCACGGTTGTACAAAAGTTCTTCGGATCGAGTCTGATAGAAGATAATTAAATCCAAACACTCATCTTAGACCATTGAAGAATTTACAATCTCTTTCATCTGCTTCCTGGACGACTCAAGTCAATTGTTGGTGCTGTTGCCCAATGTGACGTACGGTACCGATCCGTAACCCGACTGTGACCGACAGTGTCAAACTACAACCAACTGTAGCCAACAGTCAACGTCTCGCACCTGGGCCTTGTACCCGAAAGGGCGTACTTCCTGGTGTGACCTCTCCCCTTTGTCAAGGTATTTGTATTTGTCATCATGCTTGCAAATGCGCGTCTTTGTGGTCGTACACCATGTCCCTGGGATGAGAATTAAGGACGGCTCATGGGCCTTCTGGATTAGCTTGTTCCGTTCTGCCACGCGTTTAGTTGATCGCACTTTAAAAGCTTACAGTAACTTGCTTAAACCCATTGAATACCCTCAAAATGTCATATATAGTGTCAACAATGCCCTTACCAGGTAAGCCTGCTTCTGGTACTAGTCCAGACAGGAGTGAAAGGCTTGCCAGAACGGAAACTGCGTTTCAACTAATTCACACACAGGCTTCTGTGCATCCATCCCCGCTTGTACCTCTACTTGTTCTCTCGCCAGGCGTATCACTCACGCCTGGATCATCAACAATTAACGTCGCCGCACTGGAGCTACTGGATGCGGTGGAGTCGTCCTCCCAGTTCGCATCCGAGCCGTCATTCTCACTGCCGTCCTTAAAGTCTTCCTTTGAGATTCGCTTCTTCGACGCGCGTGCAGACGGGCTCAGACCCCTTGCTGGCGCTGTTAATTTTCAAATGGAATGCCCCCTAATTGAGTGGCGTGAAAGATCCTTATACGTGTATACAAAAATAGCCTTACGAAGGACTTAGAATTGTCTGGTCAACTATTTTTTGCATGTTTTTGTAACGATTATCATAAATTAGAATGAATAGGAGATATCGTAAAGGTGATGTAGCTCCTTAACGGCACTTCAAGACATAATTAAGACGCTGTTAACCCTTTTATAAAGGTGGAGTAACGAGAGTTGCTCGTATACAGATGTTGTTTTACGTACACTGTTGAAATTAACCCCCTGTTACCGACGTCGTAAGTTATGACGTAATCCAAACTGTAAGTCGTAACTCACGACTTACAAATTTTCTCATATAGTAGCTGGCTCAGAAACGGCGATACGATACTGAAATCAAGTTTAATGTGGGACCCCTGTAATATAAGCCGATAGAGGTTTTTGCTGCTCACACAAAGACAGTACAATGGAAAGAGTTAGAGTGCACCTCTCCCGCTGTCAGGCACTGTCAACATTTGATGAGTCGCCAGAAGACTACGCGAATTCTCGGCCACTCGAGATTTTGCCGAGTGAGAAGCAAGTTATATGCCGATCTGTGTTAGCGCGTGGACAAATGCCGCGGCTCTAGCGTCGGCGTCAGTGTCCACGCTGGATGCGCCCCTGGTCGACTTTGCCACCTGTGGCGCCAGCTGATAGCCGCCGGGTGGACGTCGAAGCCACCCAACGAACTGTCGAATACTTGGGCCTACTTAAAACCTTCAAGTAAAGCTTCTACAGAGGGGGAGAACGTAATCTATGGAACGGGTTGTTGCTGCTGTATTACTATGGGTCATTTCTATCTTTCTGCTCTCCTTTAGGCTCCGCAAATACTACAAGAGCCTCTTTCTCGGACTTCTCGACCTGGCGCTCGTCAACGCGTACCTGACGCACAAGAAGGCGCGCCGGGTCGCAGTCGGGGCACCCATGTAGCGCTACGAATGGTCGAAAATGATGCACAAGCAGCTTCTACAGCTCAAGGACGAAGACTTCCTGGCAGACCCCACTCCGTCACTAGCAGCACGCAAGAGACGGCGCCTGCATCCTCTGGGCACACCCTCGCGTAACTCGACGACTGGGTGACTGTGAAGGGTGGCATCCAGAAGAGGCACCAACGGTCATGCAAAGTGTGCTCGCTATATCGAGGCAAGCTCAAGAAGTCATCCCATACGACCTATTACTGCCTGGACTACTCCAACGGCGACGCCAAGTTTTACCTGTGTGGCAAGGCGCGCAGAGGTGGCTACTGGACATGCTTCCAAGTGTGGCATGAAGACTTCGCGTGCGGTGCCGCGATTCCTGCACACCTGGACAAGCGCGTCGTGCTGCGGCGCGCTCCAAAGGCCGACGGTGTCCGCAAGAAGAATCGCCGTGAGATTCTCCACGAAGCCAATGAGGGTGCTGACGAGGAGGCCGAACCGTGAATGCGAAGGAGTGCCTGTCGATGGGGGAAACTAAGGATACTGTTGTTTCTTATGCATAGATGTTACTTTTTCTTGATTTATGTCGGTAACTGCCAAAAAAAGTTGCAACGAATAATTATAATAATATCTGTTTTCGTCGGCAACGGCAAATCTATTTTTTGCCGTTGTCGACGTAACATATGTTTTTATTCTGATTTTTTGTACATTTTTAAGTGAGGGCCCTCCCAGCTGGCCCTCCTTAGTTTTTCCCCCCGACGATGAGTGTGTTCATTGCTTCATAAATGTGACGTCCTGTACCATATACAGACAACGACGGTGAAATCCGCCATACCTTTGAAACCCGCCCGAGTCCAAACATGGTTTTCCCACTAATGAAACCAGTTTCAGCCAATCCGTATGCCGTATTTGGGCGTTTTTGTACAATCAACCCATGATTCCTGCATCGGTTCTGTACATTTTGGAATCGTTTTTGTACTCTGAGCTCTGACTTTGAGCTGAAACTGCCACTTTCAACCAATCAAATAACTGGGCGGGTATTCTTGTCGCGCGTATTTTTTTTTTATATGAAGGATAGTGTTCGACACCGGGCGGATTTCACCGTCGTTGTCTGCACGCTGTGTCGGCTCCTCTTTTATCATGTCAGTCATCGAAAAGCCCTGCTCTATGTGTGCATTCGCTTGCGTTTTCCCGTATTACTTTTTATATTCACTCTTACAAAGTCGTAAGTGTCTGTGCCCGTGGCGTTTCGGTAATCCTTACGTCGTATGTTATACGGCATAGTGTGTCAACACCTTTGAGAACGTATACCTCCCATCGTGTTGGATAGGCGAGTGGAAGATCGAACACTATACAAACGCGCTGGTAAAAGCTACGCCGTAAGTTATGACGTAAAATTAGTGGTTCATGGGCTCATTTGGCGGTAACAGAGGGGTTAATGTAACTGGCTATTCTTCGGAGATTTGGACGCTCTTAATAATATATGCATCGTGTTATATCTGTATTACAAGCTTCAGCTTCGCGATCAATGATGACGCAGCTGTGTAATAATGTAAAGTGCATACCAATTATTTTCACTTTGCATGATGCATAATAAAATAGCGTGGTAGTTTTTTCTAACTTAACCAGTCTAGTATAAATTCAGGTATTAATACGGTATGACAGTCAAATCCGTCGATCTGCTAATATAATAAGATTTGTCGCGATTCATATTGTAGGGGAAGGGGGGGGGGGCCTACACCCCCGGGGGGGGGGGGGTCAAGTCGTTGAAATTTAACCGCCTCACCGGGTACGAGCTCCAAATTTACATCAGGACCATCACAGGGTTTTTTTATGGCGGTCTCTCCATTCAGTACATGACATCCACTCGACTATATCATTCCGCTTTTCGACCCTCACCTCTCAGGACACACAAGAGCCGCTTTATCATGCGCGTGGTAACTGTCCTCTTAACCGCAATTGCTGTCCCCGGAAACACTGCGGCTCCGGACGCTCCGCCAACTCTTTTTTTGGCGAGTGGCTTAACCAATTAATTGTGCCCAGACACATGCCACTGAAAGCGGCCCCTACCCACCGTCGAGACGCTGATGGGCGCCCATTTTGGTGCCCAAGAATACCCTGTGAAGAAAACCGGTCCCGTGTACGAGGAGGAGAGATCTAACAATGGGAAAATTTTACGACCCTATATAACGGTAAAACGAGCCCCCTGTTTCTAAAGGAGAAGAGAGCGGTACTCGGCTGAGAACATTCTGGCAGAAATGTACGAACATCTTGACGCGAAAACGGCTGAGCGACACCATCCCGTGATTACGGGATTGGCCGATCCGCTAAAATGAGACTCGCGAATAGAACGTTACTTTTGGTAACGTATTTTGTAGGGTTAAAACAGCCATGGAAACATGGGGTGCCAACGTTGAACTCAGAATTTTCTTCCGTCTACTCTACCGCTGGAAAAGGGCGGGCTTAGAACACCTTGCGCGCATGTAATTTCTAGAGGGCAACAATATTAGTGGTG